CCTTGTAATAGTCGACCGCTATACGAAGATAAGCCTCTTTATCCTAACGACGAAGAAGTGTATAGTAGTAGAACTCGCGGATATCCTTTAAAGGGAGGTAATTAGGCGTTTTAGAGTGCTATTAGGCATTGTTAGCGATCGTAGATCGCTATTTACTAGCTAGTTTTAGAGCGACTTCTGCTTCGAAGCGTATATAAAGCGCAGGCTTAGTATAGCCTTCTATCCTTAGACTAATAGGCAAACCGAACGCGCGAACTAGACCCTCGAGTAATACCTACGATACTATTGCTCTAAGAACTAGGATAATTAGGCTAAAATGTTGCCTTAGGCAGAGTTCGCCTATAATAATAGCATTTATCCTACGTTGCGTATAAGCCTCTTTAAGATGCTCTACGGCTTTAACCCTAATTTAATGCCGAGCGTAAATAAGCTGCTAGCTCGGAACGAGCTAACTAAGGGAAGGGTACTAGCAGCTATCGACGCTGCGGAGCAACTGCGATAAGTATATAAAACGCTTACGGAACGCTAGTAGAAAGCAGCAGAATACTAGGCAAAGCAATATAATATATACTATACTACTAAGACATATAGTATAGGTAACCTAGTCTTGCTGTCGACAAAGAATATTAGCTTAGATGTCCTAAAGAAGAAACTTAGCCCGAAGTATATAGGGCCTTTCTGTATTATTAACGTAGTTAGAGCGTAGGCGTACCGCCTAGCACTGCCGTTAAGCACGAAGATCTACAATGTTTTCTATATTTCCCTCCTCGAGCCTTAGTATAGGCGCGATAGCGAGGAGTATAAGGTAAGTATACCTATCGCTAAAGGCGATAAGTAGTAGGTAGAAACAATCGTAGCAAAGAAGATAAAGAAGCGGAAGGCGTACTACCTTATTAAGTAGCGAGGTTAGCCTAAAGAATACAACACTTAGGAGCTAGCTATTTATATTAAAGATTCTATAGCGTTAGACGAGTTCGAAGCTTAAGCGAAGCGTAAGCGCAGGCAGTAATTAAAACAAAAGAAAATGAAACTTGAAAAAAGTAGTAAATACGTACTCGTTTCGCTACTAAAAAAGGCCTATCGGCCTAGCGTATATAAAGGTAGCGCCGCGCAAGCGCGCCGACGGCGAGCCGCCTACTCTACTTATTCTTAGACTCTTCCTCTTCGTCCTTAGCCTCGATACCTATAGCGGTATCGATAGTAGCGACGGCCTTAGCGCTAACGCGCTAGGCGAGGTTCTAGTATAGTTAGCATACGAAGCGCAGGTAAGACGAGGCTATAGGAAAAACTATACCTAACAACCGATCTCTACTAATCTAGCTAAGTTAGTGCCGATATTCTTAAGGGCACCTAATAGGTTAATATCCGTAAGGGACCCGCTAGCGGCCCTCTTATAGGCTAAGGCTTTGCCGCCTAGGGTTACCTTATTCTTATTAATATAGAAGGCGTCGAGCGTAGATAGGATAACTAATAAGGAGGTTAGTATACAAAGCGTAAGCGGAGCGTATAAGAAACCTACGTGCAACGATAGCGTCTAGGTTAGCCTAGAGTGCCTTTAAGGCCTCGTTAGACTCCTCGACGGAGTCGTAGCCGTCTAGATCGTAAAGGTCGCGCGTAGCGCGTATAGCGCGAATACGCGCTAGTAGCGCTACGAACGCGTATACCGTAATAGAAGTATAGGTATAGTAGCTACTACGGTAGCAATTATAGTTACGCTTAGTAGTAGGGTCTATATTGCCGCCTACGTAGAGCTTAGATAGGTTATCTAAAGCGAGTTAGTTACGAAGCGCGTATACGTAGTAAGGGGCGAGAAAACGTACTATTAGCTATTATATACCTAAAGCAACGAGTATAGCCCTCTAGGACTTTTAGTAGGCGCTAGGTAGGCGTAGTAGGTATCGAGGGCGGTACGCCTACGGCGCGCTTACCTAAGGTACGCGAAGGAGTAGCTATACTAGTAATGTTTTTTTAGATAGATGTTTAAAAAAGAAAAATCTTTAAGTAATACTAGGGGGGCGTAAAAGGGGAGTAGGCGGAAGGCAGGCGGGTAGTATTCGGAGCGCTTAGAAAAAGAAGAAGTTTTTAAGCGGGCTTCGAATGCTTTAAATACTTGCCTCGCTTTCGGACAGCTTGCGTTCTCGGCGCTCGCGTAGCTACCGCGTTCTTAGAAATTTAGGCAACTTCTAGTTAGTACTAGAAGCAGCCGCGCTTTAAATCTATAAACAAACAAGCAACTACGAGGCAGATTATAACGTACCTAGCAACTACAGCCTAGCGATAGGTACGTATAAGACGCGCAAGTGCAGCGCAGAGTATAAGAAATAGTATAATTTACTATATTGCCCTATAGCTAGGATAGCTATACCGGGGGAAGGAGATAATTATAAGAACCTAAGCAAGTAAAGTCTCCTATCCTGCCTTAGTAAGCCTATATAACAATTATGTAATGTTATTACGTGCAGTACGATGCAGCCGCGCTAGCGATAAGCTTGCTTAGCGTATACGCGTAATACTCGATTACTCGTACGGATATACTTAATAGCTAGTACGGCAGATATACTATCCGTACTAGGCCTAGTTAATAGTAGTCGCTCTACCCTGTTCTAAGAAAGGCACGGTTTAGTTCTACTTTCTACTACGGCGATTAGTAGAGGGTGTTCTATACGTTGCTATATACCTATTTTCTTACAATATAGCTATAAGATTAAGTCCCTTCTTAATAGCCGAACGCTCGTAAAGCCGGACCTCTTCGACCCTTTCTATCGAAAGCCTAGTATGGCTTTGTATATAGAAGGCGATAGATAGCGGCTCTTCGATCCGCAGGTGCGACGATATAAGCGACAGTTAAGGGCACAGCTTTCTTACGCTATAAATACTAGCGAATATAGCACCTAAAGAGACTCTTCTAGGCACGAATATATATACCCTAATTACGCTCCTTTAGCGACTTAATAGGCTTGCCGTAACGGCGACCCTATTTGTCTAATTTAATTATATACTCCGACTTAATTAACTTAGTTAAAGAAGGGTTACAGTTATTAGAAGACAAAGAACCGTTACTACGGCGGTATAGCCTACGGCTATAAGAAGGGCAAGACAGGCTCTAATAGATACTATACTGTCTATTACTATAGCGCTAACTACGTCTATAATAATATAGATCTAGCTACGATAAGGCTATTAACGATAGTAGCGATAATAGCGATAGAGCCGGAGGCTATAGACAGCGGCAATAGCGAGATAATAAAGATAATATAGGCTTAGTAACAGCAGATTAATGCCCTTCTATAGCAATAGGTCTAGTAAGGACAGCTTACTAACTAACAGCTTTAATACGCCCTTCTAAATTAACCTCCTATATACTACGCGATGCCTCTGCCCCCTCTACGTGCTCCTATGTACCTACAAATGCTACTAAATTAAGGCTATAATAGAGTATAGGCAGGGAACGGTTATATATAGTCGTATTAGCCTTAAGGTAACCCTTAGGCTCGAGAGAGGCTCTAGTAGCAACACCTACCCTAATCTACCTACTACGCTAGCTACTAGCCCTCTACGGCTCCTCTAGCTACGTAGGGGTTTGTACTAAATTAAGGAGGACAGGTAGAGCAAAGAGAGCTATACCTACGGGTAAACGTGTATCTACGGTCGTAGCAAGCTCGTAACGAGTTTCTAACTCGCCCTAGCGATAGAAACGGCTTAAATTAAGTTACTATAATAGCGGAACTTCGAGCTTAGCTAAAGCTAGCCCCCCTTCATTACTAATTAACTATAATACGTAGTATTATTACGAAAAAAATTATATATTAAGATCTAATAGTATAGACCTATATCGCACTTTACTACGTATTAATAGGTATTGTTATTATCGCGAAATGTAGCTATAAAGAGGTTGAGTTATAAAGCTGAAGTTCAGTGCGGGTATACCCGGGTGTGAATCCGCCATCTAAAATTTTTCTATCCGCCATTTATACAAACCCTATTGAGGAGAAAAAGTGTGGCATTGAAGTGAAATGAGGTCCGCAATGCGTAACGTTAGGTACTGGCGGCGGGGACAACAGAGAGTGCGCTTGGTCTTTTGCTATCTTGCGTGCCATACTGCTCTTCAGAGCTCTACCCAGTCGGACTCCAGGCCTTCCACGCTCCAATTCCGCACTATATCTCGTTCACACCCCTGCTCATCCTTTGGTCCTGGGCTGCGTGCCTGCGCATCTGTCTCGCTGGGCAGTGTTCAAGGCGAGAATCATTCGTCTACAAACTAGGACACACCAGAGGCCGCTTGGTCACGATTCACGAAGCAATCGATATTTCTGCACAGCCTCCAGGCTCCAGGAAAGCGCAATCCCTGGTTGGTTCTGGGGGCGCATCTTCAGGTGAGGTCGACGAACTCTGCTGACCAAACGCGTACTTGGAGCCACAAAGCCATATTCAGCCAGCCAGTCTTGTGGTACCACCAAGCCATGCACAGCTCGCCTTTTCACAGATTCCAGAATTTGATCCGCACTGACGTGGACTATGACGCTGCAGACAGTTGAAATACTCACATTGCATACTAAGGCTGCGAAAACAATGGAGACCGATGTGAGCTTGACACCGTCAGCGGTGGACGATGAGAATGCTCGCCTCGTTCCGCAGCCTTCTGCACGCCCACGAGCAAGATCGCACAAAGAATACCTAGACGCTCTTATCAGACCAACGTCTGCAGAGGTTCGGAGAATCTCACACATACAGCTTCGCAAAGAACAAGAAATCGATCGCAAATACCATCAACACACGGCCGAAGAACAGGACGCAGCCAGGCTGATTCAGCGAGCCTATCGTGGCCATCGCGAGAGAAGACAGCTAAATGGTCTAACTCTTGATCCCTCATCTCGATGGGCAGAAGTCATCCGAGAATGGCGGTATCGCAGTGCGACAGCACCTCACTATTCCGGCACACCATCTCCTCAGAAGCCCAGTCTTCAGCGTGACCGCAGCGACACTGCCAAGCTGCATTGGAGACGCGCCAAGGAGATTGCTGAATATGCTGGAGCTGGTGAGAGCACGACATCTCTTGGTGTGCAGTCGTCTGTAGAGTCAATCTCTTCGTCGCGGAGTCGATACAGGTCAAGTTCGAAGCCATATGAAGAAGACGTGCCGAACTCCATGCTGCTTAATCTCCGTTATTTCTTGGAGATGGTCGATACGAAGCATAGATATGGCACGAACTTAGCAGTCTACCATGAACAGTGGCAGAGAGAGAAGACGAATCAAAATTTCTTCTACTGGCTTGACTACGGCGATGGCAAAGACGTTGATCTCGCCATGTGCTCGCGAGAAAAGCTGGAGAAAGAACGGATTCGCTATTTGTCGAAGGAAGAACGGAAAGACTACCTTGTTGAAGTCGATGAGAAAGGCTTGCTACGCTGGGCCAAGAATGGCGAGTTGATCACGACTTCGAGTGAGCAATACCAGGATTCAATGCATGGCATAGTCCCAGCTGGCTCAAACGAGCCAAGATTCAACGATGAAGAAATCCAAAGGAAACGCTCAGAAGATGCATCATTCTCCCAGAAGCTGGCGACAGTAGGAGGCATGTTCAAGGACGCCATTAAGTCATCAGAAACAAAATATGACAAAACATCATCATCTTCATCCTCCTCCAGCTCAATATCATCACTAAGCGACCAAGGAGAAGTCGCAATGGCGCAACATACTGCGCACGATATGGCAGATGCGGGCATGACCTCCCAAACGAAGTCGAAAAAGTCGAAAAAGAAACTCCACGTCTCACCCGCCACAATCCTCAACCACCTCCTCCGCGCCTCCGTCCGTCCAGGCACTTGGATCTACGTAGCCGACACCGTCGGACGTCTCTACGTCGGCATAAAATCTAGCGGAGCATTCCAACACGCCTCCTTTCTGTCGGGTGCCCGAATCTCCTCAGCAGGAATCATCGGCGTCACAAACGGTCAACTCACATACCTATCTCCCCTATCCGGCCACTATCGTCCGACAACAAAATCTTTCAAACGCTTCATCGAGAAGCTCAAGTCGCAAGGTGTGGATACATCACATCTGAAAGTCAGCAGTGCTTATAAGATTTTGCTGGGGATGGAATATTATGGGACGACGAAGAAGGGGATGAAAGCGATTTTGCATCCGGAGCGAGAGGGAAGGGAGAGGAAGGCGAAGAAGGAGATTTTGAGGAAGAATGATTTGTTACATCCTGTGACTTTGCCGGCTGCTACTGCAACGGAACAGGTTGAGTATAATTGGAAGAGGAGGAAGGAGGTGCAGGAACACAGGGGTCTGGGGAAGTTGATGGATGATTTGAATATTCGGAGGAAGAGTCAGGATGGAAGGTAGTTGAAGTAGTCATGGAAATGCCTCGTTCTGTGCAACATGTGAGCTGGAGCTGTGCAATGTCTTACCTTCAACCGGTCGCTTGCAAGCTTCTCCTCTCTACCGCACGGTCTCGCAACCATCATGTCCTCGAGCAGTCATGATGCGCATAACACGTGGTAACGAGCAACCTCACTTCAAAACAAGCCTTACTATTTCAAGACGAAATTGGTGTATATTGAGACCCCATAACGCACCATTTATTCATCCACAAGATGTCGTTTGCGTAGCACCGGGAATACTAGTCCCGTCAGCTTTGCTTTGTGGACGTCCGAGGAGCAAGAAGCAAGGCAAGCTGGTCGGGAGCAAGAGATAAACGTGCAGGTGAACACAATCTTATAGGCGCACGTAGGCGGTGTAACGGAGTTCCGTCAACGGCAGAGCTGACTGTTTCCATCTGATACATCTCAGGCCTGTCTCTTCATAGCGATGCTGTGAGACGCTCGTTGTCTTTCGTTTGGCGTGATGCACGGGCTGCACAGGAACAAGATAGTTCTAGGCCATAGCCATGCTTTCGAGCACCATCGGTCGTCATCTGCTGGCGGCACGAGTCAGCGCAACACATACATTTACTCGCGGGTAAGTGAGAGCCATTTCTCCCTGTCCTTTACGTGATGTCTGCGTAAGTGTGTCGACGGCGAGGTCAACAACATCTCCACCACGCACGGCAACGGCAATGGCCTCACTTCCGATATTCGCCGATACGTATCCGACAGACAGACAGACTGTGGCCTTGGGATCGAGGAGCACCACTTCTTCTCCTCGGCCCGTTGCTCGAGGCTGCGAATTGATGCGTCATTTGATGAGAGAACGTCGAAGAGCACACGACATCGCGCGCATACCAGCTCCAAGCACAGAAACGCACTCCACACCTCTCCATCGCTAAACTGCCACTGCGGGGCACTCGAGGCACTTTCCAGCCGGCTCTGGAGACTCTCGCTGTATTTTTAGGACAGCTTCCATTCCTCGAATTCCCCCAGAAGATCCGTCACTATGGCTCCAGCTCCTACCTCTTCGCCCGCTACCAATGGCGTAGAGGGCCAGTACCGACCGGAGTTGACCAAGACTAGTGCTGGAGATTTCATGAGACCTGCTATGCGGACACGAGGCAGCTCAACCAATACTAACGGAGTCGGGGTCCAGGTAGAGGATACAAGAATATGTGTGGTTATGGTTGGGCTGCCCGCGAGGGGAAAGAGTCTCATTGCTCAGAAAGGTAGGACATAACATCTAGCCCGAGATTGTGCTGAAATACTGATTCGGACCTTAGTTGTTCGCTACCTTGGCTGGCTCAGCATCACAGCCAAATGCTTCAATGTGGGCAACTACCGCCGCTCCGCGACTCCTCAGCCGAATGCCTCATTCTTCGACACTTCGAACAAGGAGGGCGAGCGATTGCGAAAAGCCGCGGCCGAGGCAGCTGTTGCGGATATGTGTAAATGGTTCAAGCAGCCGGACAACCTCATCGCCATCCTCGATGCCACGAATAGTACCAAGGCTAGACGGCGGTGGATCAAAGAGCGCTGTGACGCGGAGGGCATTGAAACACTCTTCGTCGAGAGCAAGTGTGACAGCGAGGATATTATTATGAGCAATATACTTGAAGTCAAGACCACGAGCCCAGACTACATCGGACAGGACCCAGAAGAGGCGGCGAAGGACTTCCGCGAGCGCATCAAGATGTATGAGCGCGTATACCAGACACTTGACGAAGATGAGGCAGATTTGACTTACTGCAAAATCATCGATGTTGGTTCGCAAGTCATTATCAACAGGATCCAGGACTATCTACAGTCGCGGGTAGTCTATTACTTGATGAACTTGCATATCAAGCCGAGGTCAATTTGGATAAGTCGGGTGAGTTCAAGCCGTCGGTCTGCCATGTCGAGTGAATTTGCTGATAATTGCATGTGTATAGCACGGAGAATCCATGTACAATCTCGGTGGTCAAATCGGAGGCGATGCGGATCTGTCACCTAGAGGAGAACTGTATGCCAAGAAGCTTCCAGAGCTCGTCAAGAACTCCGCCGGAGACCGCCCTCTCACCGTCTGGACGTCGACTCTGAAACGCACAGCACAAACAGCTCGCTTCCTTCCTTATGAAAAGCTGAGTTGGAAAGCGCTCGACGAGTTGGACTCAGGTGTCTGCGATGGCCTCACATATAAGGAAATTGAGGAGAGATACCCAGAAGACTTCAAAGCACGCGACGACGATAAGTACAACTACCGCTACCTCGGTGGCGAGTCGTACCGTGACGTCGTCATTCGCCTCGAACCAATCATCATGGAGTTGGAGCGATCTGAAAATATCCTCATCGTGACGCATCAAGCTGTGCTGAGGTGCATCTACGCATATTTCATGGGCTCGAGCCAAGAACAAAGCCCTTGGATGGAAGTCCCCCTCCATACTCTGATACAACTTACCCCGCGAGCGTACAAGACGGAAGAGCAACGTTTCTTCGCTGATATCCCGGCGGTCAGTACGTGGAGAGGCAAGGGCAGTGCCGCCGCTCATCAGGACCATCCCGATAGCCAGAAGGGTTCGCCAATGCTCAAGGGAGAGACGAAGGCTTGATCGATCAAAAGAAGGAATGTTTCGGGAGGTGATTATTCATGGATAGAGATTGGTGAAGGCATAGCGTGGCGCTCGGAAAAGGATAGATGCAGCAAGCATCGCCGCTCAACAGTTGGCAAGAACGTCGGACAGTCAGTCAGTCGTGTTCACATGCACCAGATCACAGGCACAGTCATGAATGATGCGAGAATCGTCTATTTCCAAGGCTCACATGATAGAAGAAGAAAGAGAAGAAGCTAAGTATCACGTTCCCAAGCAAGCCATACCCGCATCGTGTCCAACCTTCAACTCTTTGTTCTACTGATCTGCACCTGTACAACCATGGCAACGGCGGCGACCTCAGCGCGCATCACTTCCGATCACAAACCCCAATCCGCAGTGCAACGGCGATCTCAACCATCCATGAGAAAACAACAACCTCCCATCACCACCACCACCCCATCACCCTCACTCCTCAAAATTCTCTCCCTCATCTCCCAATCCCTTCTCCACGACTCCAACCATCAGAAGTATTTAAACCTTTTACGTCAATCTATTTCCGAAACTCGGAAATTTCTTGAAAGAGCGAGGCAAGAACTTGAGATTTCTGAAGAGGATGAGGATGTGAGGGGTTTGGATGGGAGTAGTTTGATGAGAAGTTTTGCGTTTTGGAGACAGGTTTTGGGAAATAATGGGGATGAAAAGGAGAGGGTGAGGTTGATTAGGGGGTTGGTGGAGGGGTTGGAGAGGGAGGTTTTGAGGGGTGAGAGGGAGGTTGGGAGGTTGGAGGGGAAGAACAGGAGGAGGGAGGGGGATGTGGTGGAAGGTGAAAGTGAAGAGCGGTTTGTTGAGGAGAATGGGGGTGTGCTTGTGACGCCGCTTGATGGGGAGGTCGCTGCGAACATGACTGATGCGGCTACAGCGAAGGATGAAATCTCAAAAGACTTTCTGAAGGACAAGGACGAATATACTGCCAGGCATCCGAGCCGGCGGAGTCGAAAGAGTAGTGCCAAGGTACCAGAGAAGGAGAAGGAGAAGGAGAAGGATGCACTCTCAGACATATATGGGCTTTCGTCAAGAAATCCTTCGGTGTGCGAAGCTGGTGCGATCGGAAGTGCGAGCAGTTACACTCGAGTCACGCGAGCTCCTACTGTGGCAAGTTCTAGAAGCATGAGTATCGTGAGGTCGAGGCGGAGTCGCCAAGTGGCTCCTGACGAACCTGAACTGGCCGGGGCAAACAGAAGACGTTTCGGAAGTGGGAGGGTTGCTTCGAGGAAAAGCAGTCGGGTTGCTGACAACGATACTGCAGCTTTGAAATCTAGCAGCGAGAAATGCTCAAGAGCTAGTTCAAAGCGATCGGGCAGGGACAACATAGCATTTTCTCAACCCGATTTTGGAGGGTTGGAGAAGGTAGCTACCCCTGTTGGTGATGGACAAGTTTCTCCAAAAGCTCTGTCTACTATCAAAGCAGAACCAGCGAAAGTAGTCGCAGCGGCTGACGCAAAGTTTGAACATGAGGTTGCTACGCGGTCTTCAAAAGCAAGTTCCAGGCGTACGACAGCGGCTTCTACTCCCTCGAGGCGGAGGACGTCAGGCAGCTTTGCTGAGGCCGCTGCAGAGCGTGTCGAGATTGCCGCTGCTTCTAGGAGCACGCTGTCTTCGAGACCGAGCTTCAAAGGCACAATAGCAACTTCTACTCCTTCAAAGAAAAAAGCTTCACGCGAGGCAGCTGACCATCTCGTCACAGATGCTGTGAATGCCATGAATCTGAAGACGGAGGAAGAGGAGACCGCTCCCAGACACGCCCAGACTTCAAGAGCCTCAGGCCCAAAGCAATCGGAAAGAGCATCTGCAGTAGCCGGGGTGACGGAGAGGGAACTTCCACAAGAAGATCGAGAAGCTAAAGTAGCATCGATTTCATCACAGCATTCGAGGACCTCTAAGAGCAGCTCGCTGAGAGCAGAAGTGTCAAGCGAGGTTGTCGCACACTCCTCAAGGTCTACGAGCAGACACTCTTCGAAAAGCAGCGGCTGCAGGGTTTTGCAGGCAGAACAAAAGACATCGAACGTACTTGAACATTCCGAGTGCAGCTTCGCAAAGGCATGGACGTCTGCAGCAGTGGCGCAAAATCCTAGTACATCTTCAAATCGATTGCAAGATACGAAGGGCGTCGTCACACGAACTTCCTCCCCATCATCCACAGACCACGAAATTTCTACGCGACCATCTAATCGTACCGGCAACCAAAACTCCAAATCCAGCAGTCGCTCGGCTTCTGGTAATAATGGTCAAGATGCAAGTCCACCAACAACCTTAACCAGTCACAGTAGAACTAGAACTAATAGTGTGTCGAAGTCTCGCAGCGACGGCAGAAAACTTTTGAAGCACGAGGATGAAGAAATCGAAGTCGAAGGCCCTGGGGATGTCCTGCAAGGTTACAAAAAGCTCGATTTGCCGCGGAAATGCCATCACGCCCCGTCACAGGCGAGTAGTAGATGTGCTTCTGTTGCGTGGTCGTGTGAGATTGTTCGAGATGTGCGGGGACGGGTGGCTTTGGATTCGGAGCATGTACATGAGCGGCGCAATGGTTGTTCCTGACTAGTTTAGAATACATGGTCTCATGCGCTTGTGTAGGTGCATCTGTATGCGATATGAATGGAAGATTCGCATCATCATTTCTTTCCTGCTCTGTTCAGTGCTGTTACTGTGCTGTATGTACAGCGTCTACGCTCAAGCCGAGACTGCAATTGGTTCGGACGGGAAACGGCACTGTCTTCTATGAACGGTAGGTATGGTATAGACCTAACCCTGAAAGATGAGGTCAAGTCACGGCAGGCATTGACTCCGTACGACTTTGCTTTCTTGACGAATTCCGAGGTCAAGTCCGACGAACTGCTGTATATGTAAGATAAAATCCAAGTGATCTGATTGGTCGAATATTCTACTGTACGCTTTGCATTGCTTGGCACAGACGTATTTTGCATGAAGACCAAAGAATCTACGACAATCCTAGTTTTGCCGACGAACGCTCCGAGGCAACGAGTGGGACATGTCAGCATCATCAACACCACGCCAAGAGGGGCCAAGACATATCCTAGGAAGTCTGCCAAATCGCCACGTGAATAATGAATGTCTCACTCGTTCCTGAGATCCGAGACTTTCTGATAGCCAAAGTCAACTTCACTGCCCTGCCGTTGCCGTGGCGGCGTGGCCAGACCTTGCTCCAGCTCTCCCGACCGTGGATTTGTGCCCGCATTTTGTTTCCAGTAGTAGTCGTGACTTACTCGTACCGTGGGAGCAGCACTGTTCGCAATTCTAGGTACTTGATGTAAACTGTTGTGTATTCAGAAGAGGGCTAATCTACAGGAAGCCCAAAGATGAAGTGCGCAGTTTCAGCCTCAGGCATCATGCACGTGATACCACACACTACACACTTCAAGTCACCCCCTTATCGCGTGCATACAGCCAAACAAACAAACTAGCGAAGCAAACAAAGGGGTATTAGGTATAGAAACAACTCTAGACCACTTTCAGGCTATTATAATAGAGCAACTAAACAAACATACGCAGTTAAACTAGACAATAAACCTATGTCTTCTATCTATTTAGTATTTAGTAGCAGGCTAAGCGGCGCTCTTAATAGCAGCCTTACAATCTACTAAGTTTAACTATTTAACAAAGCGGCCGTGCTTAATCTTGTTAAGCGGCTTAGTAAAGCTATCGGCTATCTAATTATATATACTAACCTATTAAACGATAATAGTACTATTAGCAATCTTCTCTTAAATATAGTAGATACGAGCATCTATATGCTTTGTACGGCTATTAACAGTAGATTTAGTAATAGCGATAGCGGACTAATTGTCCTCGTATAGCGTAATAGGCTTAGTAGTACCCTTATAACTAATCTCTTATAGCAACCGAGCTAAAGTAACGGCCTCCTTAGCGCTAGTTATTAACTAAACATACTTAGCCTCTATAGACGATAGAGTAACTAAGGTTTAGCGGCCTAACTTATATAGCAGTAGTCTACTAGCGAGCGTGAAATAGAAGCCTCCTATAGAGCGACGAGTAACCGGATTATTAGCCTAGGAAGCGTTATAGTATCTAGCAAAGTTGAGCTTATTGTTCTATATGCCTCGGAAACACAGACTACGGCTTAGAGTGCTAACTAGGTACTTAATAAGCTAAAGAAGCGCGGTATAGTGTTCCTTAGTCGGGTTAGAAATGTATCGTAATAATAGGCCTATAGTATAGCAAGCATTAGGTCGAGTAATTATTGCTAGCTATAGTGCCTTACCTATACCTTCCTAATACTAAGTCTTAAAGGCAGCGCTAGTAGTGTAGCCCTTAGGTATACGCTAAATCGATATCTTAACGTATCGAGGCGCTATTAGCGTAGCCGGTACTATACGGCCCTGCATCCTATACTTCTTACTAAGCCTATTCAAATAGGCATCTTAAACGACGTAAATAGTGCGCTAATTGCAGTTACGAATGATCCGCATGCCGAGATAGTAGTATAGGTCGCCTAGTTCTCGTATATTAAAACGGTCCTTTAGCAACTAAGTAACGGCTTCTAGTGCTAATAGGCTATAGGCGATAATAATTATATTATCGACGTAGATAACGATAATCGAGCTACTAACAACGTGTTTAAAGACACAGACGTCGGACATTATTAGAATAAAGTCTAGGCTCCTTAAGTACTTCCGAAGCTCTTTATACTATAGCATTAGTAACTGCTTTAGACTATACAGTGCCTTTAGCAATAGGCAAACTATGCCCTTGCCGCTACGGTCTTTAAAGCTATGTAGTTGCTCGACGTAGATCTTATGCTTATCCCCGATAAGTGCGTTAAGGAAGGCCGTTAGAATATCGTACTGCTTAGCCTCTAGGTCGTAATAAGCGATTAGTACAAACAGCGCTCGTAGTATAGACGGCTTAGCGACAGCCGTATAGGTCTCGTCGTAATCCTAGCCTTCAACCTGCGTAAAGCTACGGACAACCTAACGAGCCTTAAACCGGCTTACATTTCTATTAGCGTCTCGCTTAATAGTAAAGACCTAACGACTACGAACAACCTTCCTACCTTCTAGCACCTCTAACCGAGATATATAAACCTATATATAGTTATTAATTAGTAACTTGTATTTAGCCTCGCAAGCTTCCTTCTACTATAGCTAATATAGCGACCGAGTTGCTTCCTTGTAACTCTTCGGAATAGGGATAGTTTCTTTAGGCTTGTCGGACTGCTTAGTAATGTAATAGGAGGCTATAAAGCCCTTTATATAGGCTATTAGCATATTAGCTAGGCTACGGCGAGTCGATCGATTAACACTAGCATCGGCTAGGTATCTACGCAATAGCTCTCGTACTAACTTGTTGCTTCGAGTAGTACGTATTAAACGAGCGTATATAGCATTTAGTCGCTCAAACTCCGGTAACTAGCTAGGCTCGCCCTTCTTAGCGTAAGGATCGTACGCTAGTTCTTCCTCGGCTAACTAAAAGCTATCTTTATTACTTAAAGGCGGTTAAATAGCTAGCAGGTTATCGTCGAGTAGCAACGGACTAGCGACCTCGTTAGTTACCTCTATGTCCTAAGCAGTCTCGTCTAGAGGCTCTTCTTGCTAGGCTAGAAGCTGCTAGACTATACTAGCTGCTTCCTATAGCGACGGTGCCTCGTTGCTTATAGAATTAAATAGAGCCGGTATAATAGACTCGAGTATAACAAACTCGCTCTTAGCTAGGTCGTTAGGATTAGCGTATAGATTTATACCCTCTAGAAGCAATAGCTTACTAGCCGTCTTAATGAATTAGACGTCCTTTAATATAATAACCTTATACTAGTTAGGGAGGTAAATTATATATTTCCCTAAGTCTACTAAGTCCTTAGCATAGCCGACTAGCTTGCTAACAAGGCCTCTACTATCTATCTTCTTTCTACGAGCAACTCCGTAATTATATGTAACAGTAGTATAGCTATAGGCTCGAAGGTGTTGAAGGCGTAGCTGCTTCCGAGACTAATTAAGCTCCCTAGCTACAATAGTATAGGGGCTAAGACCTTCCAAGTTTCTAGGAGTGATATTAAGAACCTATATAGCAGTAGTGACTATATACGGCTATAGGGCCTTTAGCAAATTGGTATAAAGTATTATCTTCCGAGCGGTCGTATATACGATATAATTGCTAACCTTAGCTAGACTATTCTAAGTAGAAGAATAAGGAGCTGTAACCTGTAGTACAATGCCCTAATTACGAGCCTAGCTTAATAGCTAATTTCCGCCGTACTTACCCTCTCTATCGAGGCGGTAGATCGGGATCGAATAGCTAGTTTGTATACGGACGTATATACGGTGATCCTTAATTGCTACTATAGCCCCTAACTTTAGTAAGCTAGCATATTCGTGTCGATAACCTAACTTAGCGTATATGAACAGTGTGAAATAGCGCTCCTATAATAGACTAGGATTAGTAATAGTGACTATATCTACATAAACAATATAATAGATTGTAGATAGTCGTACGCGTAGCAGCCGATTGTATTCCTTATATAACATAGCCATTCGATAGGCAATGCAGTTACGGAAGTCGTTCTTATTACTAG